CCGGCCCTTGCACACCGTCCCTCCGCTTCATCTGTCTTCTCCTCCCTTTAGGAAAGGATTGAGGTCTTAAGGCGGTGAGGATCAGGGAGCCAAGATGGCCAGAAGGAGCCTGGGCCCATGGTTTTCGCCCTGGCTCTGCTTGGTGCTGGCGCTGGACTTTATTGAAGGGCAGGAGGAAAAACCCTTCGGTGAAATGTGCCTGGAGGACTTTACGGCAGGGCTGCCAGATTGGGTGCTGGATACAGACGCCTCTGTCCAGAATGGAGCCACCTTCTTGTCGTCCCCCAGGGTGCACCGCAGCAGGGACTGCATGAGAGCCTGCTGTAAGGACCCCACTTGTAACCTGGCTCTGGTGGAGCAGGGCCCGGGCGCAGAGGAAGACCACATCCGGGGCTGCTTTCTCCTCAACTGCCTCTATGAGTGCCAGATTGGGTGCTGGATACAGACGCCTCTGTCCAGAATGGAGCCACCTTCTTGTCGTCCCCCAGGGTGCACCGCAGCAGGGACTGCATGAGAGCCTGCTGTAAGGACCCCACTTGTAACCTGGCTCTGGTGGAGCAGGGCCCGGGCGCAGAGGAAGACCACATCCGGGGCTGCTTTCTCCTCAACTGCCTCTATGAGCAGACTTTTGTCTGCTTCCAGGAAGTAAGAGCGGCTTTCTCAACTTCTTGAAGAAGGACATGTATGATTCCTACCTGGCAATGCAGGATCACAGATCTAGTGGTAAGGTGCATACAAGGGATAAGCAAATCGGGTCTGGAAGAGCATTAATGGCCACTGGTGCCAGCTCCTCCATCCATCATTTGTGCAGCTGTGGTGCCAAACAGTTGGGACAAAGTCGATGCTGAAGATGGTGTTTCTATATGTTCCTCTGCCACAAAGGTTTTCCCTAACTTTAAGGTTTGTGCTTCAGCTTACCTATTAGTAAATGGAGAGAAAATATTTCTTTTACCTCTTTGAAGTGACTGGAGTGTGTGATTACCAAACTCAGTCAGAGTTTTTGATGTTTGACAATGTAGCGAAAAAGGTATTGTTTTTCTTCACCCTCCCCTCAGGCCTTTGAGGTCGGAAAGTGAAATCCTCTAAAAATCACCGCATTTTAAAGGGCTGCATTAATCTCTTAATTGCTCAGGGGTTGGAGGCAGGATGTAATCCACTTGCCTTTAGCAGTAGCCTGGATGGTGAGATGTCTTGGTGTCGGGCTCTGCTTGTTGGGACTGGTCCGTGCTGGTGGGGGAGGGAAAGGAGCGGCCAGGGGAGGCTGGTTAGAAAACGTCCTCTTTGGAAGTTTCTCTTCCCCAGTCAGTGTTTCCCTGCTCTGAAGGATTGCACCTGGACCCAGAGAACTAGATGGAAAGCTAACTAATCTGAAGCTGTCACACACTCTGGCATCTCCAAAGAATTGCAGTGTGTTCAGAAACACTGAACACACAGCAGTTCCTCCTTTTGCTTCATTATTTTGTGTTTTGGCTGAAGCCTAATGAAGCCAGGATGTTTCCAGCCTGGCTGGGTCTTTGGCAACCATAACTTATTATTTGTTGATGCCTGGGCAGGGCTCTTAGGGAATATCTGTATGGGTAATCCTCCTCACACCTCCCAGCCCACTTGTGGGAAGGAAAGGATCTATGGAGGTGACAAGGGGAGCCTCCAAGTGAGCACAAGGGTTTGGGCTCGAGCTTAATAATGTGAGCTGAATAAGGCCTTTGATCTTCTGCTGGGATGCTCCAGCCAGTGAGTCCTGTGGGTGCTGGAGGTGGAAATGGCACCAAACGCCACACTGACCATTTGGTCTTTGCTGCGTAGCAGCGTGGGGGTTTTGGAGCAGCCCTTCGGTGTTGTTGGATTGAACTGCAGTATGACAGAAGTGGTCCTCCTGTCCTCTGCCCCTACTAGTGATTTCCCACTGGATTTTAGGGTCTTCTGGTAAGTGTGTCTCACTGTTGCAGTAGTTCTGCATCTCCATTCCAGGCTCAAAATCCTTTTTATGGGAGCCGCATTTAGCAAGGAACTGAAGGCCACATCAGGACTGGAGGTGGCATGCTGGTAGTTGTCTGAACTCCTGTGTGCTTTGTTGTAGGAGGAAAAGGGAATGCATCATCTCCAGTACATCCTGATTTCACAAGATTAGATTAAAATACAATGTACTGTTGAGCAATTAAGTCTCTTCACCTCTGTGGACTAGTGCCTCATACAAGGAGACTGCAGGCCCCTCTTCCATTGGCTGGTCCCAGAGCCTGGCCTCGCATGTGTGTGGGTCTTTAGAAAGTGTCCCTGGCTCACTGACCTCTCTGTGCCACCAGCAGTTACGTGTTTGCCAGCCCATGGCACCGAGGTGCAGCGGCCCAGCCACCAGTATGCAGGTGCTGCCCTGCTGCTCCTTTCACAGATTCTAGGATGGCTGTGGTGGAGCAGGAAGACCTAGGAGGGCTTATCAGTGAGAAGCAAAAAACATGCCAGAAATGCAGTTAGGGTTCCTGGGCCTGCTGAGGCAGCCATGCTCCTCCTTGCTCCTGTGAGGCTTGCGCCATGATGCTGCTGCGGGAGTAGGAAGGGCTCCGTGTCTCTTTACACCCTGTGTTTGACTCTCAGAGCGTTCCAGGTGCCAGGCAGGTCTCCAGCTGTACCAACAGACAGTAGGCAGCTCTCTGCTGCATATTGGGATTGGGCTGCAGTGTTCATGCTTGCTTCAATGGGAAGTACCTTTCCCTCCTCCTCTGAGATTTTTGGCATTGTCTTTGATACCAAAAGCTTTCTGAATCACCTTGAAGGACATTGGAGGGCTGGCAGGGAAATAGACGAAGGGAGTTACCTTACTGGAGAAACAGCAAATACTAACTAGGGCTAAATCAGCTGGGTCCTCCTCCCCACACCAGTTGATGAGACACTTAAGAATGCTGCTCTCCGTTTTGGTTCAGATCCAAACCAAAAAACCTAAACCAAAACCACAAGCCCCTCCAGCCCATGATGCTGGAATTGGCTCCATTCAGGAGGAATGGGCCTGTCTGGGCCTGTCTTGGCTCTCACTGCAGGGTAGAGGGGAAGGGCACAATGGGGCAGGTGCAGGAGGCCAGAAGGAGCCTCTGGGCACTGAGCATGTCTACAGACAGCATTTTTGGTTTTGGACCTATTTAGTGCTCCTGGAGAGACCAGGTGAAACAAGTGTTAAGGAAGCTGTTTTCAGCATGTCAGGTTTTCTTCCCAAATGTTTATAGGTAAAAAAATCTTGTCCCAGGTTTTGGACTGGAGAAAGAGCTAGTTTTCCTGCTGTTGTGCTGTATCACTGTTAAAATGTGAAGTTTTGTGGTTGTTCCGGAGTACCGGTTATTGTCAGCCCCCTGAGACTGGCTCTAAGGGTCTGCTGGAAGCTTACCTGCTGCTATATCATGCATTTCTTTCCTGTATGTGCTGCTGCCAGGTGTCCTATGAGCCTTTGCCTGTGGCAATCTTCAGACATCCTCTGCAGTAGTGAGGATTAAAAGCATGTTTTTTCTAGCGAATAGTGAAATACACGTTTAGTGATCCCAGTGGATGACATTAAACAAAAAAGTCACACGTTGCAAGACCCACACTACTACTACTACAGGGAGCAGACCTGTTGAATTAAGAGATTTATATATTCAGGAGGAGAGCAGGTAACTCGTGAAAGAGAGTGCAAAGCTGGGGGCTGCGGAATGGGCAGATCTGGTCTTGGAGTGTTTCTGGAGCGTGATGGAAGTAGCTGAAAGCTGGGAGAGTGTTACAGGAAAAGCACTGTGTAGGCTTGTGTTGTTCTTGTGCTTGCTTAAACGTCCTCAGCGAGGCTGTTGGCAACTGAACACAGGGACAGGGGCATCTATGCTCTAACTCACTGTGGCCACTTTTATGGTGTTATGACTTCAGAAAAACCTGTGGGTACAGGCAACAATTAATACAACTAAAATCTGGCTTCTGCATGTCATCTGAGGTAATTTTCAGTATTTTGGAGAACAAGAGCTTCTGAGGCCTTTATAAGCTGGTGACAACAGCTTGGCCCTGTCGCTTGCCTGTTCCAACTAAGGTACAGCCTGAAGTCTCTGATGTTATTAAAAGGCACGATCCTCTTCAATGATTCCCTAGCCTGAACTTTGGTGCGAGTTTTCTGCCTGGCTCATTCGGGAGGGGCAGGCTCACCATGCACTTTATTGGTAATAATGGAGCCCAGTGTTTAAGTAACTAGCCTGAGTTTATTCTGGTCTAGGCAAACCAGTTTTGGGTGTGAAACTGGAAAATAACCTCCCTGAACCTTTGTCCATTTCTTGAACTGAACCTTTTGTGGTGGTTGTGAAATGATCGGTGACACTCTCCTCCTGTTGAATTCAAGGCTCGTGAGTGGGAGACAGGAAGTGCTGGGGAACTTCAGGATGTGTCTGCTCCTGTCTCACCATGGAGAAAGATTTTCAGGCTAAAACTTAGATAATGCATTCAAAATGGAGAGCTACCCTGTCCTCCTCAAATATTTGGTCCCACAATGGTTTCCATTCTGTGTGCACAGTGCAACTCAAATGAGTGGTGCTGGGATCTCAGCCAGGGCTGATACAGGTCTGCCCTTGGCTGATGCTCTTCAGCCCTAAGCTAGCTTCTCATCCTCCAGCACCCAGCTCAGGCCAGGAGAGTGGGGGAATTGCACATTCATACTGACACCACAGATTCAGAGGGCCCTTCCAGGGCCCACTGGAAGGGCCCTGGAAGACCAGTTGGTAGATCTCACTGCTCAGAGTGGGTGAGCAGCAGCTTCCACTCCATTTGCTGTGAAATTAGCATTTGTCATGCAGAATTTATTGGAGTGGCTACATCATGTCTTCTCTCTGGAGCTATTTAAGGAGACTGGAGGAACAAATGTATCTTTACTAAAATAGCACTAAGACCTGAGGAAGAGTATTTCCCTCTGCCTGCTAAACCAAATGGGACTGGTTTTCCACACCCTGAGGAAAGATGGAAGGAGCCTGGCTGCAGCAGCAACTTGCATTATTCTGAAAATATAATCTGTTCAGTTGTACTCTATTGTTTTAGAGAGGTTAAGTTGACCTGCTCTGTGCACCTCTTACAAACCACTGCAGAAACCTCTAGAAACTAATGCTGAGAGCTGCTTAGCTCTGAATGAGTTGTTGGAAAACTGTATGGCTTTATCATGACTATATTTGCTGCCCAGCCAGGATGAAGCCCTAAAGAGCGAGCCTGTATTTCTCTTTCTCCAGGCACTATGCTGCATTGCCTTATTCCTTTCTCCCTCTCTCCCTCCTCAGGCAAATTAACACTGGCTGCAGTGTCATCCTTCATTACCTTTGCCCGTTGAAGTGAGAGTTTTCTAATGTCAATGGGCAAGAAAGCTGTTCACTTTTGAGTGACTTTCCTGGAAGCAGTCAAGAGCAGAGCTTTTGCAGCTTTAGCATTTTTGGGAAGAGCCACACTGCTGCCCACCTGCTTTTGCAGCAGGCAGACTCAGCTGGCTTGTAACACTTGAAATCTCCAAGGTTGTGTGTCTCATGGATGCTGGAATTTGAGTGGCCTCATTTCTGTTCCTGGCTTGGTCAGTGGCTCTGAGCAGTGGCTTTTGTAACAAGTAAGGTCTTTTCCTCCACAGTGCCTCAGTGTTCCCAATACAAGCCATACTCATCTCATTTGCAAGCTGTAAAGGCAGTCAGCAGTGGCCTGTAAAACCCTTAGTCACCATGAGAAAGCTTTCCAGCTCTTTCTAGTAACAATCTCAAATCATTCTGAGGTATTTTTAAGCATTGCAATATAGTCTCAGCTACTCAGGATGCATCTGCATAAGCACTGGAATGAAGGAAATCTGGTTTTCTGTGGATTTGTATCTTGAGGGCAAGAGGTAATATCTGAGGTCCAAAAGAGAAACCCCCAAACTGGGATGTTTGCAAGTACGTTCTGCTGTGAGATTTCACTGGTGCCTGCAGGTTTGGATACCAAGGCCCCTAGTGGGGTCTCTCATTTCACCTAGTTGTTTACTTTTGCAGCTCTTGAGGGAATTTATTATCTTTTAAATTCTTGTTCCCTCATCAACTTTGGTTCAAGTTTACTCATTAGAGGTGATGTCAGACAAACTGACTACATAAGCCTTAAAACCAGGTGAAATTTTTTAAAAAGCAGAAATCAGGAACTGAGACATGAATATGCTGTAAACCATATAGATTTTTAAAGCATTTTGGATGTTCTCTATCAAGCTTTTCTCTGGAATTATAAAGACAATATACTTCCCCTTCTGATATATTGTATAAATGGGAGTGGAAGTTGTCACTTAATGACATGATTCCAGGAGCACATTTCACAGTATGGACCACACCACAGAACAGCATCATAAAGCTTTAACTTCCCTGTTAATTGAAGAGTTTTACAGGAGAAACTTTCCATAGTCAAAAGAGCATTATAGCAAAGGTAACTTTCATTTTTCCAACAGACTTTCAGAGGAAAACAAACTGAATGGAGAATCTCCCTTCCATCAGCAGTTTGGTGATACTCACTCTGGCTCAGTCAGCACTTGGTTCTGAAGCTCAGGTGGAGAACAGCCGTGTTGCCGTGGAAGGCTGCATACAGTCAGTGTGGCAGAAATACTCCAAAGTCAACTGAACTTTCCAATGTTCACTTGAAAATGAAATGCTTAATTTCTCGTGGGTGTTCCTCCTTGGCAGTCACCACAGATAGGGAAATACTCTTGACTATTTTCTGGAGGTGAGGAGGACGGGGAAATTTGGCTACTCAGAGATGGGACCTGGAGAAGTTGCTGACCATTGATCAGAACTGAGTTTTTACTTCACTATGTAATCCACAACCCAAAGTAACTAACCGTTTTGCCGGTAATTTTTTTAAACAGTGTACGTGCTTAAAAATGTCAAGGAAATTTATGATTTGGAATTACGAGTTAATGATCAGCCTCTGTGCTGCTGAAAAACTGGTCTTTCCCTTGTGCAATTGCACCCACCTACTGGGCTCACCCTAGCAGGAGGGTGGCAGGGAGTAGGCTGCCTCTCTCCCTGGCAGACTCCTGGCGTTTGCCTGGCCGGAATGGCAGGAACATGTCCTCTTTCCAGAGCTTATAGTGCTGCATGCAAGGGGTTTGTGGGGCTCTGGTTTGGAAGGTGTTGCCAGCTCCAGTCATGGCTTTTGCCTATAAATGTTCTCATAGTAAGACCACTTGAAAATAAAGCAAAACTCCATTGATTTATTCTACTGACCGTGCTCAAAACCAAGAGATGCCAGCCTCACTTGGCCCAGTTTGGTGTCTTTCAGCAGTCTTTGTGCCTGACTGAGACAGGACCCATCACTCTGACATGCAGCCCTCAGAAAGGAGTGGCAGGGAGGTGTGCCTCAACCAAAGATGAGAGGACACCAGGGTGGGCATCTCTGCTTGTGTCATCTTTCTGGCCTTTTTCAGTCCAGCTGGGTCTCCTCTGCATGTTTTGGTGAGTATCAACAATATGAGCTTGATCCCATATCGTTCCTACACAATACTTAGATGAAAAGATGATATAAAAGGTAAAACCAGACTGCAGAGAACACACAGACTGGTGTGATAAAGGTAATCAGAAGCCCTGCAGCGACACAAGCTAGAAATGGCTGACCTCTTTCCATACAGTCAAACCACAGCCCCATCAGCCTGGTGCTGCAGGGCTGCAGCTGGGGAGCAGGCTGCATGGGGAACCTCAGGGGCCTGGCATGCATGTGCCCTCCCCCATTCTGCAGCCAAACAAGCTGAGTGCAATGCTTGAATATATAAACATAGTAAGGTTTGCGTCCCCTGTGATTTTCTCATGGCAGCAAGACCAGGATAGAATGAATATATCTTCATTTGGTAAAAGATAGCAGAAAACAGAAGATACTCGGTGGATTTGTGGTAACTGCTCTGGAATATGTTGCAAGGATCACTATTCTACTGAATTTAGTGATGAAAGAACTAAGTAGCCTGTTCTGAATGTCAGATTTGTTTGTATATATAACATATTAAAGGTCCCTTCCATGGACTACAGTAAGAGTCAGCAGCTGGGACCTGAATCCAGATATACTCAAACAGGAGATCAGGAATTGCCGCAACAGTGAAATTAATCAGCTGATGGAGTAATTTTTCTTGGGGGTTTGGGCACTAATCCTCTTCTTTGGTCACAGTTGGTATAACAGTGTAGTGGTAGAGTGATTTATATCTAGCTTATAAATGAAGGTTGATGCCTTTACAAAAGACTGTTTAAACCAGAACATTGAGTCTTGGACTTGGTACAGGCACTACCAGGTGGAGTTTTATGGGCTAAGCTATGCACGAAGCCTGTGATCAGAGACATTCAGGCCAAAGGGAGTTATGATGCAGGCTCAGTGGTGTCATTGTAGAGGCTGTTCTTGCTAGCACAGACAGGGATCAGTTTTCATCTCTTGCACTTACAGTCTGGAAAAGTATTTAATGGATTGTGGAGGTTGCTGGTAAGCTAATCCATGGAATGGCACAAAAATAACGATCTCATGAATTGGATTTTTATGCTGTTTTAAAGGAATGCATGCCAGAGAGTGAGATGGAAGATGGGCTGGAGGAGGGATATTTCACATCTGAAGTCCTGCATTGTGTTGCTCTGGCTAAATATGCTAAGATAGTGCTCAGGGATGGTGGTAGGAATGGTGAGAGTCGGTGCCACATTCTTCAGCACCCACACCAGGCCGTCTTCCTCGGTGAAGGGTGGAGATTGCTCTGTGCTGTTTTGTGAGAATGTCATGTGACAGTCAGAAGCACAATGGCTCTAGCCATAGGGCCACCCTCATACAGTGGTTCCTGTGGACAGAAGTGGCCAGGGAGCCAGCTGGCTCAAAGACACTGCCAGAGTGGGTTGTGGAGTTACTAAATTAGTGAGGGCAGTAATAATGGTACTGTTTGCCTGTTGCTTGCTCAGGCTGTAAGGAGCACAGCTGTATAAAAGTGTTTTTTATTAGCAGTTGAAGTCTGTATAAATTTAGCCTGGAAGAATCCCCTTCCTTGTCTCCTGTAATGAAGACAGCCCTTCGGCCTCTTACCCAAGCCTTGTTCTACATTTCTTTTGCAGATGACCATCCTCCAATAGCCCGCGCTGTCAAGGACATGAGGGTACAGCCGGGGCAGCCAGTGATGCTGAGAGGCACAGAGAGCACGGATGACCGAGGGATAGTCAGCTATGAATGGAAACAGATCCTTGGCGATCCCTCTGTGGAGATGAAGGTAGGGAGCTGTAGCAAGTAAGCAGCTTGCTCAGTGTCACCTGTGGTCTGCACTAGGTTCGGCTGTCACAAGTTACCTTGTCCTTCCTTCTTCAAGCAAGTCCACCCATGACCCTGTTTCCAAATGCTATGGAGCACTCCTTGTGGTTTCCCCCACCCTCTTGCACACTACTTGGAAGTGACATTTCTTGGCCTCATCAGGCCTCAGGCTCCCTGCACCAGGAAGCTCTCTCTCAAACCTTCCTGAGCAACATCTGATCTGTCTGGGTGGGAGCATCTGAGAGGGCAGCAGATTTGATGTAAGAGCTGCCTCTGGTCCTGAGCTCCTGTAGTTCAGTGAGGGGCCTGCCTTTAGTTCTGCTCTGTCCACTTTGGTCTGTCTCCTCCTCTGTCTCTGAATAATCCAGTCTCAGGCTCTGCTTCTGTTGTCCTGGGGCTTTTCCTAGACTTTGCCTCTTTCTAGAGCATAGGTTCTTCCTCCTATTTTGTCTGATCTGGAGCAGAGGTCATGTCTCTTGACTGGATCCGAGATCCCGGGGATATGATCACTGCCTATTTGATAGATACTAAAAGTAAGTTGTGGGTTTAGAAGAGCAAATTATTTCTGTTCTGCAAAAATCTTTTGAAGCCATGGAGCTTATGTGGAGTTCTTGTGGCAGCAGTGACAAGCTCTAGAGTTCTGAGGGGTCTGTGGAAATCAGCAAGTGCTCCTTTGCCCTAGGTCAACCAAAGCAATTTTCAGGGAGGGGAAGACCTGTAATATTATGCTGTATTAAATACTTTATATGGCAAGGCTGTGTTCCTTTGAAACCTAACCAAAACCAAGAGATAGAATGGAGATAGAGGCCCGATTTTGTTAATAAATAAAGGGGAAAAGTTCGTGTCAATAATATTTTATCAGAATAGAAAGCTAATTTAATTAAATACACCTACCTTATTCCCTATGTACTAAGTAAATGGTTCGTGATAGGTTTTGAGTTTTAAAAAGTAAAATAAAACTACAGGTATTTCAGAATTCTCCAAAGGGTTTTATTTTTCCCTTTTGCTTTCACAATGCCCCAATATATGAAATATCTAATTACACTTGTGGTACTCATTCTCTCTGCTATTCCAGCTGGGTACCAGCCCATGGGTTTGGGGATATTGTTTAGCACGGCGACATTTTTCATGCCATACATCTCCTCGGAGGTTTCCATCCAAGCTCCTTTCTCCCTAATGCAGGAACATGGGCCTAGCATGGCTTCACTCACTCCTTCATTAGAGATACTTTCTCCTGCATAAGCCTTTCTTTTGCATTCTCAGAAACATGAAGAAGATCAGGTAGAAATCTCCAACCTACAGGCGGGGACTTACGTCTTTCAGCTTACTGTCACGGACACTGCACAGCAGCAAGACTTCACCAACATCACCATCGTGGTGCTGAACTCTGAGCAGACAGAAGGTGAGCCTGAGCCCATGGGTGTCTAGCTGGAGTCCTTAAGCCTGGGTGCTCTTCCCGGAGGGGTAGATGTGAGCAGAGCGCAACCAAGAGGCCAGACTTGCATGTCAACTTTTCGCACTAAAAGCCTGCACCAGTTGGAAGGTCTCCATATGCATAGTGGTCTGTTTTAGGGTTTTCACATACTCTTGCAGCAGAGGTGGTCCTCAATAACCCCATCCACTCTGCCTGGCATTGCCCTCTGCGGGATGACACCAGGGTGGCTGAAGCCCAGGGTGCAACTGAGGGTGTAAAACAGGAGAACCTGAAAGGACTTGCTGACTCTATGGTTCTGCTGCAAAGGCCTTTAGGCTACAGGATAGGTGGAGCCATCTGCAAGACATTCAGTGTCCCTGGCTTTAGTTACATGTTTTTTCTTTAATGGTCTTGTTTAATGATCAAAGTGTTCAACATTACAAGTGCATTAGAAGCAGGGAGTTCTTGGACGAATGGCTGACTAGTAGCTAAGCAGGGGATTTCTCCTCCTACCACAGCTGCCATAAAAATATGAGAACAGCCATGTCAAGTGACACTAATTATCTGATCAAACTCCACTACAATCATTCAACAGTGTCCAGAGGTTGATACTTTGGAAAGAGTACAAGAACATGACATGCTATCAGTAAATCCCTACTATGCTTGACTAATCCCCAAGGATTTTGCAGCTGGGAGTTTTTTTTTAAGCAGAAGGTGATGTCTTAGTGTTTAATAGCCATAGATGGATCCCTTTTTGACCTCCTGTAATCTTTCACAGCAGCAACATCCTGAAGCAAGGAGTTTCACAGCTTAACTATGTGCTGTGTGAAGAAGCAGATCCTTTAGTTTTATGGATGTGGCACCTTCTAATTTTTTCTTGTGACCCTGTCTTTCATGCAAAAAAATGCATTCTATGATCCCCTACTCTCCTTCACCATGCCTCTCAAGATTTTATAAGTCTTTCATACAAGTCTTTTGGAAGACTTTCTTTGCCTTGACATATATAAAAGAGAAAGTCTTCCAAAAGACATGTCTAACCAGAGCCTTTCATGTTAACTTTCTTGATAGAGCACTGTTTGACTCCTAAGAAGGTGGGCTGGTGTCGGGGATCTTTTCCACGTTGGTTTTACAACCCAAGCCTTCAGCAGTGTGAGGAGTTCATTTTTGGTGGCTGCAAGCCCAACAAGAACAACTACTTACGGGAAGAAGAGTGTAAACTTGCCTGCAAGAATGTTAGAGGTGAGTCCTCTTCGAAAATCCAGCCCCCTCTTTCTCACGGGATTACCACGACCCTGTGGACGGGTACTGCAGCTTCTTGGCTGACAGCTAGTTAGAGCCCAGTAAGCTGAGGAGACTGGGCTGATCATGGATGGGCAGTCCTTGTCTTATGCTCTCAGTATTTCTGACCCAGCCTCTGAAGCACTGGACTGTGTCCCTGGTATACTTCTTGTTGTAGAAGCCATCACCAAATCTTTATGTTGCATCTGGAACTTAAATTCAGAGGGGAGCATTGTGCTGTGGGGTCTAGAAGTGCTTCACTCCCAAAGTGAAATTAATCTCCCTCCTTGGCATCCTCTTAGTCATGTCTGACAATGATTTAGTGCTGCCTCAAATAAACAGGCTCAGTGTTTGCCAGGCCTTTTGCAGTGCACAGGTTAAGGAGGAGGCAAAAGCCTTGGAAAAGAGACTGTTTGGGAATGGTCTAGATAGTGGTAGGAACTTCCCCTGTGGTGCTCTAGGCCTGCCTTACATGGGTACTACTCATCTGGGGTCTCTGAGTGGTAGGAATCCATATTTCACCTCCCTAACCCATCCAGGGCTTCCTTCCAGAAAATATGCACTTCCTAGGTGAGATATGAAGGCAATATAAAGCTGATCTTGAGTTGACAAAATGATGTGGTGGTAATTTTTTTTATTTTTTCCCTTTATCTCTTCAGGTTCTGTTGGTGGACGACAACAGCCAGGTGAGCCTCCTGTACCATGGTGTAATCCTGCAGCAAGTTTGGGCTTAGTGTCTCATGTCCATTCCTGTGGCTTTTGATTAGGATTCAGTCTGTGGAAAGTGAGGCACTGGAGACTAATTTCTTTAGCATACCTTTCACTTTCATGTCATAGGATAATTCAGGTTGGGGATTACCTCTGGAAGTCATCTGCTCCAATCCACTACTCAAAGCAGGGCGAGCTTTCAGTCACACCATGTTGCTCAGGACTTTATCCATTGCAGTTTGGGGTATCTCTGATGAGGGAGATTTTATACTTTCTCTGATCAAACTATGCCAATGTTTGATGACTGTCACTATAATTTTTTCCCTTTATATTGAATCACTTTCCTTTGTTGCAACTTGTCTATTGCTGTTCATCCTGTTACTGTGCACCTCCAAAATTAGCCTGTTTTCTTCATAATTTCACACTAGGTCTTGTGTCTCAGGCCTCTGCTGAGTCTGCTGGATTCGCTCTATTACGCCAGTGTCTTTTGTGCACTAGGGGGCTCAGAACTGGGCACAGTACTCAGCACTTGGGATCACCTCTGGAGCAAAGGGGTCTAAAGCTCTTGCAGCCCAGTGTGCAGGTTTCAGTTTGACTTTCCTAATTTAATCCCCCATGCTTGGGCAATGTCCCCGTATTCTTCTTGAGTAGCTCATTCTTGCTTCCACCTTCTGTGTACTTCTTTCCCGAGAGGAAGCATGGCTGTTCCCAGAGTGGTGTTTCATTTAAAGACAGGAATTATATGTTTTGAGTCTAAAGTGGCATTGAGGAGAGACTTAACCAGTCTGCCTTCTTTTTCACCAACCCTAGCAGCAGTTTTAAAGTCCTCCATAAAGCATCTGTGTGGCAGGAATAAACAATGAATTTTAATGAGCTATCTGAACTGTTTCTGATGCAGTATGTAATGGGAACTGTCAGCCCCCCTTCTTCAGATGCAAGGATGGCTGCTGCATTGATGCCTATCTGGAGTGTGATGAAACTCTCGACTGTGCTGATGGATCCGATGAGATGTACTGTGAACAATGTAAGCACTTCAAATTCTGGCTTAGACAACTTAGTATCTGCCCAGGGATGAGTGCAATGTAAGTTACAGGTGCTGACTCAGTGCTTTTTGGTGCTTCTGTTCTTATCTCCTGACCCTGCTTTGTCTCTTTCTGCAGTATTACATTTGCAGGTTCTGCCATCTCCCATATCTCTGCTGACTGCAAGAGATGACCTTTCTTCTGCAATGCTTCCTGCCTCTTAAATACTCTTCAACTCACTTCTCTGCACCTGTCTATAAGACTTGGGAGCCTGCCCTTGCCTCCTCTTCCAGTGTTTTTCTCACTGAATGACCTTACATGCATTCTTAGAGTTAGGAGATGGGAAAGAAAACCACAGTGGTGGGAAAGAGAAACTCACAACGAGCCAGCAGTGTGTGCTAGCAGCCCAGAAAGCCAATCGAATTTTGGGCTGCATCAAAAGAATTGTGGCCAGCAGGTCAAGGGAGGTGATTCTTCTCCCCCTCTGCTCTCGTGAGACCCCACCTGGAAGTTCTGGTGCCCTCAACATAAGAAGAACATGGAACTGTTGAAGCAGGTTCAGAGGAGGCCATGAAGTTGATAAGAGGACTGGAGCATCTCCCCTATGAAGACAGGCTGAGGAAGTTGGGGCTGTTCAGCCTGGAGAAGAGAAGGTTGCGTGGAGTCCTCATAGCAACTTTTCAATATCTGAAGGGCCTACAAGGGAGCTGGAGAGGAACTCTTTATTAGGAACTGCAATGATAGAACAAGCGGTGAAAGGTTCAGATTGAAGGAGGGGAAGTTTAGGCTGGATATTAGAAAAACGTTTTTTACTGTGAGAGTGGTGAAACACTAGAACAGGTTGTCTAAGGATGTGGCTGCCCCGACCCTGGCGGTGTTCAAAGCCAGGCTGGATGAGGCCTTGAGCATCCTGGGCTAGTAGGGAGGTGTCCCTGCCCATGGCAGGATGGACTGGGACTTGATGCTCTGTAAGGTCCATTCCAACCCCTAAATTCTATGATTCTGTGATTTCTCCCTGTCTGTCTAGTGACACAGTCCTCTTAACATCCTCATGTTATGCTAATGTAAATGCACAGAGATGAGATGCCCAAGTCCACACCCTCTCCTCCCTCCCTCTGTCCCTCCTCCCCTTTTCTGACAGAATCCCCATAATCTCATTCCTATATGTGGGTGTTTTGTTGCCTTTTTAGGTTGCAAGTCTACAATTCATCTCTCTTGCCCTCACTTATATCATACACTAGTGCTCTTCCATACTTCTTAAAACCTGGAGTTTCCCGTATTTCTCTATGGAAAATAAAAATAAGAAAGCAGCCTTTGTTTTCCATAGTTTTGTCTGTATTTGTGGAATGGAAATTGGGAATAGTTTCCTGTTACTACATTTTGGTTTCCCCGTGTTCCCCTCATAGCTTTGAGATATTTAAGACATCAAATCATATCTTTCTTTCCTTGGCTTGTGATAGCAAAGGAATGTGCAGGAAAGCACTGTCTGCCCATGTCTGCATGGATGGGGGCATTTCTTTTCAACTCGTGAGAGAAGCTTTAACATGAAATGTTTCCCTTGCAGATGCTCGTGAGTTCAATAGACTGCAGAAAATCAATATCACACATAAGCAAGGTATGTACCATCCAGAGCACCTAGACAGACCTCTACCAGCTTTTGTTTTTTGCCTTCAGTCTGTTGTTTCATTGTAAAACTGCTTCCCTCTGTAAATCCAAAAAAACGTGTAGCATCTGGGTAGTCCCTGTAGTAAGAATGAGCAAGGGCCTGTTTTCAGACCTTGAGGACAGCTGTTGATAGGAGGCTTTCACTCTCCTGCCTGAACTTTTGCTGCTCAGGCAGGTCTCATGCATGTTGCTGACTGGGCACAGTACTTGACCTGTACAAAATCCTGCAGCACTTTTTTTCCAAAATTGTGGAACCCACAGCAGTGTGGGGAACATGACAATGCTTGTGCTCGATCCCAGACCTTTGCCTTGTTTGTAGTAGTGTATATGTCGGACCTATCACTGGACTAAAAGAGTATATTCCAAGTCAACTTAAATTCAACTGCTTGTAGAGGAGACCTGGGCTGAACTGTGGTTTCTGTGTCCAGGCTCTTCATGTTTCCTTTTGCCTCCCAAAGAGAACAGGTTATTTCCACAGGGGATCCAATCCAGGGTTTAGCATGACTGCATGGTCTGTTGTTCCTTTTTCCTCCTTGATGCTTGGGTTTGTGAGCAAGTTGCAGCTCACCTTGGCAATGCCTACTTGAGCAGCTGGCAGCTGGCAGTGGGGACGTGAGAGCCATTGTTCTGGCTGTGGATTTCCTCCACCATGGTACTCACATTCTTCTGTTCTGAGCACAAAATGTTGCTGCTCTGGGAAGACACTGCTTGGGCTAAAGCATGTCTCCTTTGCTTTGCCAGGTCACTGTGTGGACTTGCCTGATACTGGACAGTGCTCTGAGAGCATCCCCCGCTGGTACTATAACCCATTCTCTGAGAAATGTGACCCCTTCACCTATGGGGGCTGTGGTGGCAACAGCAACAACTTTCAAGAAGAGGAAGAGTGCATGAAATCATGTTCAGGCATCACAAGTAAGCATACATAGTGAGGGCTGGAGTTTTACTGATCAAACTAACAAAATCACTTCAGCTTAAGTTCCATGGTCCCAAAGGGACAGTGCCTTGGGAACTTTCAGTCAAAGCAACTCTGCTTTCAAACCCTGATAATGACTCACGGTGTCTTGGGGCTTATGGGGAATGGTGTATCTACAGCATCTTTCTGCAGTGCAGCCTGTTGTTTCTCAGAGCTGGAAAACATTTTAGGTGCTGATGTTGAAAAAGAGACAAAAAGGGATGACAGAACTCACCAGAGATATAGTATGGCTGCTCTAACTGGAATCTTAACTCTCTAGCTTGGCTTCAGATCTCCCCAAGTGAGAGGGGAGAAATTAAGAAAGTCCTCAATGACACATACTAGCCTGAGAGAGGTTTACACTGTAGAACTTTGTAGGTGTTGCTGTGAAGACCAACAGCTGAAACAGGAGGAATTCTGCCAAACTGTGCCTGCTAGGAGGCAAACTGTTGCTGCTTTTTTGCTTTTCTTTTCTGCCACCCTCAGCTGCACTGTGCTTCACAGCCTGCCCTGAGAGCTCAGTACCATGGCTGTTGAGAGGGATGCTGTGTGCATGCAGTCACTTGAGAGCACTGGAAATATGCTCCTTGGAAACCTGTCTAATCCCTTGTCCCCAACCTTTTTTAAACTTTTTATCCCGTTCTCTGTTCTCAATTCAGAAGCAGATGTCATTGGCCGAAGATGGGAATCATTTGAGTCCCAAACTGCTGTCTTAAGTGAGTAACAGTTCTTTCTACAGATCTTGCTTGTTGCTTTCCCTGTCCTGAAAAATATTTTGTCTTTCCTTGCAAATAGTATCCTTTTCTCTTGTACCTATTTTGAAGCTGGGGAAAAATGTGGGATTTGTGGGTGCTAGCAGTGGCAAGAGATGCTTCTGTGTGCTGTGCATGTGTGGTGCAGTGTTTCCCATGTCTGTCACTCAGCTCATATCAGAGGCTTCTGATTTTTCTTCCATCAACTTGCATGGATGCTCCACTGTTCAACATAAAAAAGTGGCAAGTAAAATTCTTCCTAAGGGCCAAGTTCACATAAGGGGTGCTAACTTCTGCAGGGAAGAAGGCTCAAGTGGATATGTGAATAATACTGGGTGCTAAACTGTGGGAAAATCTGATGACCCTATACAGCCTCTCTACAACTGTAAAAAAGGCCAAAGCTATTGAAATAGAAGTTCTTTAAAGAATATCACATGAAGGTTGGTGTTCTTTAACTGCAGAGCTGTAAGGCATCTTTCCTCAGTAGAGAACTCCTGAAATTGTGCACTTCTGTTCTTCAATCCTAGAGATCGGTTTAGTCTTCAAATTCACACCATGTTTGATTGTCTTCACTGATGATGCAGGAGTTTGGTTGGCTGGAGAAGAACAAGTGCTCACATTGCTGCTACAAGTGCTTTTTCTACAAACTTAGCCTGTACACCGTAGCTTATTCCCCCAGCATTGTCCCAGCCAGGAGGTGCCTTCTGCGACCACCCCTTGCTAGCCTCCATGTTGTGGTACGACACAAAGCCATTGTTGCAGAAGGACTTGATATTCTTAGAGGTGTCAAATGGCCAAGCCTGCTGAAGTCACCGAACAGCCTTTAGAGGGCGTGGTGTATCTGGGAAACGATGGGAACCATCATTCGGGAGAGACAGGCTGGCTTTACCTTGGCCATACCCTTATGCCATGTGGTTGCCATCATTCTTCTTTGCCCAGCTGTGCAGTGGCCACCCTGCTGTCGCGCCAGCTGTTGTCCACCTCTTCTCTTTGCCAGCACAATTTCTGCA